ATGGATGGTGTGGTGCATAGTGCCCCACTAATACAGAGTTAAGTACCAAACAGTACGAAGATTTATCAAGAGCTGTCCACTATATCGTAATACCATATAGCAATATGGGACTAACGACATAAAGAGCCATAAAGAGCTATAAAGAGCCATTACGTGATGTGTGGTTGAAGACACCTCTTCTTACCAATAGCTTTTTGACATGGAAGGTGGGCAATATTAGCTTTTCTAACGCGCTCTGAGATGTTTTTCTTCCATGCGAGTGTCCTATCAAAAATTATACCTAAAAATTTGGCTTCCTCCTTCACATGTAACACAGAACCTCGTAGAGAGGGTGGAGAAAGATTTGGGACCGTATGCTTTCTTGTGAAAACTACGATTACACTTTTGTTGGAATTTTTACCCCAAGACCACATTTTTGTGTTCATTTGTTTAGGATATTAAGACCGTTTTGCAGAATATCCCTAAGAGTAGTAGTATATTTTCCGGTGACTGTTATCGCAATATCATCCGCATAGGCAACAGTTTTGCACCCCTCTACCTTCAGTTTTATTAGCAGTTCATTCATCACTATATTCCAGAGGAGAGGGGAGAGTATTCCCCCTCTATTGACCCTTCTGCGTGTTGTTGAAGAGCATATCGTTGCTTCAATGAGTCTGCCAGTTAGCAGCTGATTTATGAATCTAATAAGCGCATCAACGCCTAGATACGAGATTGCGCTTAGTATTGCACTTGGAAGGCCCCTTCAATAACTACGAAAACAACCAGACAAAATTCTTTAAGTTTGATGATTTTTTCTATTTTATATATGAGAGAGTGGAGGGTTGTCTCCGTACATTTTCCCTTATTGTAAGCATGTTGTGAGGAAGACCACTGATTGCGGTTTACAGCATGCTTTACTTCTATATCCATAATTCTTTCAAGAGCCTTTAACATGAAAAATGAGAGGCTTCTCGCACGGATTTCATTAGGGTTATGATGTGAGGTTTTGCTGTGGGTACAAAAACTACTCTAACCTCCCTCCATTTAGTTGGGACGTAGTTGAAAATGAAACGATGTCTAAAAATGTCCAAAAGCCTGGGATATTAGCTCCCAGGAATTTTGGAGCTCAATTGGATGAATAGGGTCTAAATAGGGTCTAAAACTAAAAATAGTCCATTTAACTATCTGCAGGTTTACTTTAATAGAGTTAACCGGTGAGATATTAAGGCACTCTGTGGATGCAGTTATTAATGCCCTCTATGGATGCAGGTGTGCTATTTTTGGATAAGATTTTACACAGTTTGTAAGTTTCGGAATTACTGTTTATTTCCTGACAGTATGTCTGCAAACTAGTTCTCTTTACATAGGTACAATTTATCTTATATTTTTGTAAAGAGATCTTGTATTCCAGTCAGTCACTCTCATAATTGTCTAATTTTGCCTTATTGAATAGTCTCCTACAGTCCTTTCGTAAGAGACCCAAGTCTTTATTCCACCATGGTGGGTTGCATTTCCTACTAGGCAAAATTAAAATATTCATTGACCATTGAGGTGAGATCTTGGATTTGATAGTCTAAATCAATAATGTTCCCTGGGGGATCGAAGGAAATGTTTGACAACAGCTATCTTAACGCTGCTTTATATTTCGTCCAGTTGGTATTTTTAATATTTCTGAACTTTTTCTGTTTGCAGATGCTCGATTTATTGGGTGTGTAATGAACCTTTCGGCCGAGGATTTGGTCGACGGATCCCAGGGTTGTTACAAGAAAATTTCTTTATAACCCCGAATCTTCTCGTCGTATAATAATTTAAAAAAACTGGGTTATTTCAGTTTAATTAATTTTTTACAAAATAAAAATTTTTACAATATTTATATTTATACTTATTTACTAACAAATTTTATTGCTAATACAAATATGGAAAATTGCTATAATTCCTGTAAAAAGAAAACCCGATTAGTATTAGGGAAAGTGTCCAACGTTACCGACTAAGCCACGTCGCTTGAAATCAGCATTACCGACTAGGCTACGTTGCTTGGAATTAGAGTTACCGGCTAGGCTACGCTGGTAGGTTGGGAATCAACGTTACCGACTAGGCTACGTTGCTTGGAATTAGCGTTACTGACTAGGCTATGCTGGTAGGTTGGAAATCAATGTGTTATCAAGTACTTAGTTACGTGGTTAAATGTTTCCTTTTGTGCTGCGAAGTGCTCTGTTTCATGGCCTGTGATCAAGTGCCATGCAATTCCCACGATGCGCACTGTTCGAAGTGCTGCGACCAAATCCAACTTTGTTCGATTTTTCATTGCTTTTTATACTGTTTACTTTTAACGGGACTTCGGTTGTTGTTATTGCGAAGTGTAGCTCAACTTGAATTCATTGCTTATAAAGCAAAACCACAAATTTTGTGTTTACACCCAAAGGGAAATGGTTAGTGTTGTTGATAAATTTTACACCCAATGAAATTATTGGTAATAGTAAATTTATTGTTGGGACGACATCGTTGTTTATTTAAATCGTCACAAGGGTTAAAGTAAATTCTAGAATCATATGATCTCAGAAGGAGTGTTGAGTGGACACATTCCAGTTCTTGAGTGATCTATGAAATTTGGCCCTAGGAGCCTTCAATACTTACTGCGGTTTGGTCACCGTCACTGTATTGCGAAAGCAATAAATTTTTTATTAATCAATTTGCAGGATCTAGGCATATCGATTTCAGGAGTTCCTATTCATCGAAAAGATAGCGCATACCTATGCTCTCCTCTGATGTGATTGAGGGAGCCAGCGAGGGAACAGACACCGAGGTGTCCATACACACAGGTGAGTCTTCAAATAATATGCCGACCGGACTCACTTCGGTCATAGAAACAGGTTTAATGCTGCCCACTTCCGATGGGAGATCAGCAGCATATTAAGAAGTCGCCACAGAGTTCCTTACGTCAAACGAGGGTTGCGCCTGATCTTTTTTATAAACCCTCATATTTATGGAGAAGAAATCGTGGTTTAATACACCATCAGATCGCGCCAGAATGGCCAGGGAGGCTTTGTCGATCACAAAACTGACCAACCTATACTTGTCTTTGACTTCTACCAGCTTACTGACCTTCCACGTAGCCGTATTTACATCAAGGTTTCCCAGCCGAAATAACTCCAAAATCCGCTGGAATTCAGGAAAGCGCTCTATGTCGGCTAGGAATTAGCTACTCAGCAACAACTTTTAGTTTTGCGCTTGACCAAACCTTACCCATTCTGGAGATGGCAATGTGAAAGAGATCAACAGACGTTGATCTATCCAAGCGTCTAGCTTCACATGGCCCTGAAACCATCCACTGTCGCGACATGTAGAGGTTGTGCCTGGAAATTCCTACAGGATCTCAACGTATACATCAAGGAGCTGTCGCTCGATTTGATCTTTTTTCAGGGGTGATAGTGCCATCTGGGTCATTTTCATCGATGACCCCATCATGATCGAGCCCTTCAGCGTGTCGATAAAGGACTTAGTAGTGGTGACGTTGCCACGAAATTTTGCCTTTTGGCATAAGGTTTCGAAGCTGACTCATCTAATGAGCGCTGACGCTTCGACACAGGTTCCTTTTTCTCTTTCTTAGAAGTATTAAGGACCTGCTTTGCCCAGGCTAATCTTGTCCTAAGTGATTCGGACGTGACTGAGGCAGAGTTCTGCTATACCAGAACAAGACTATTTTACAAGCGGAGGGCGCCAGTTATACGGAGGTCTCCACTCAGAGACACAGTAACGTAGTGCCATTCATTTCATCGGCACGGCTTGAATAACACCGGAGATTACGAGTTGTATCGAGTTTTATCGAGTTTTCATCTCTAGATCCATAGTGTTCTGTTATGTCAATAGAGTTATCAACATTAAAACAGGTTCACCTCGTGAAGAGTGTGATAAACATCACGCACCATGGCCTTGGTATGGCATAGGCTGATGTTGGCAAAGAACATGAACCCACACACACCACACTTTTAGTAGATTTAATTTTTAAAATATGCACTCGCACGTTTGTGGTGTTAAGAAAAAAAATGTTAATAAAATTAACGACAAATTATTGTCAAGAAATATTTATTTTGTCATTGCTTTGATGACGAATCACTGAGCCGCACATTGCACCATATGTGCAATATGCATAATTCAAAACTGTGTCAATAGAATAATCGGTTTCAAGTGAAACCATATGTAGAACACTTGCATTCGTAAATATAACACTATTTATTGATAAGCTATTTCTTAAAAATATTATATACGTCTAATTTGGGTTAACCAATTAGACGCAAGTATTATAAGTATTAACCAATAGAATCAGTACATAAGATTCTATTGGAAATTAGTATTAAGAAACAATGTTAGATTTAAGAATTAAAAATAAATAAAAATGAGTCTTGTTTGGACACTCAAAAAGAACACGTCTTTGATTTGTATAAGCGTAACTTTACAGTACACACATTTTAGGTGCTGCTTTAAATTTCACATTGCTTCACACGATGATTGTGCATACAGTTTCATGCACGCACATTTGTGTTTTGTGATTGACTTATAAAAATGTGCACAATCACATGTGGGAGAAAATTTTATGCTCGCACCGCACTATGCGGCATAAAAACCTCTCCTCACACCGCACTGTGCGAAAAAAAATATTTTCTGTGCAGATGAGTGTGCTTTTCTAATATTACGATTGCATCCAAATGTGCGTTCCTGATTTTGCGCTACCATCCAAGGGTGCAAAACAAAATTACTTGGATTTCACAATTTTGAAATAGTAAATATTATTTTGCTGCAAATTTTGAAAGAATTGATAATTGCGTTCGTTGGGATCATAACTTATGTTAAAAATTACATAAATTAACGTATATTAGTTAAAAAAAATTAGTTTTGTTAAGTAATTACAATGTAAACTTAAAATTATGAATGTGTTATTTAATTTGCAATTTAATTAAAAGTTTTTTTCAATAAATGTTTTTAATATAACATTATGTTTCTTTCGAATTGTTGAATTATCGTCACATATTTCTTCACAGTCAGATAAGGAACTAAAGTTGATAGTTGATAGCCGCAGAAAAATTGTCATTATAAGGTATTTTGAAGTCATTTTCATTGTAAGTAATTGCAGGATTGTGCAATACTGCAAGTGCGACTATAACTGTTTTCGCATTCTCCAATGATATATTCAACCCATCTAGAAGACAACGAAATCTTTGCTTCCACACACCAAAGCATCTTTCAATTGTATTTCTGGTGGTGATGTGTGCAGCATTGTATCGTTCTTCTTTTGCGTTTTGTGGTTTCAGTATTGGAGTGAATAGGTATGGTTAAAGTTTGTATCCTGAATCGCCAACCAAGCGCCCTTTGAATTTACCTGCCTCTAACTGTTCTTTAAAAATTGACTCATCGAAAATCCGGCAGTCGTGCGTATTACCTCTCCATCTTGCGACTACATTGCAAATTTTTAAATTTGCATCACATACCACCTACAAAATATAATTTATTTTTTAAATATTTAAATATTTTAAAGGTACTAAAAATACGCACTTGTACGTTTAATGAATAATACCCTTTCCGATTTATATAATATTGGGAAATATCTCCACCCACTTTTTTAATTTTTATGTGCGTGCAATCAATTGCACCAATCACATTTGGAAAATTTTTTTTGCGTTTGAAGCTTTTCATATTTGCTTCCTCTTCTATCAATGATTCTGGCATTTTAATCACAGTTGCGGCATGTTTTGCAAGAGCACTAGCTACTCTAACGCAAATGCAGTCAGTCGCAGCCTGGCTAAGGCCATGTAAATCACCTGCATCGTCTTGTACCTTTTATATTAAAAGCTTTTAGTATGTAATAGTATATGAAAAAGATTAGTTACTTCTCTACGACTCCAACATCGCAAAGCTACTGAACTTGTAATCTTGCGGAAGTTCCAGCGCCTCTATTATCAAACGTTAAGTCCTGTTTCACCAAGTCAATTATTTTTTCTACGCCCTTTTTTGAAAATCGGTACCTCATTTGAAATTCATCATCACGCAGCATAAACGGATCTCTACGTTTTTTATATATTTTTAAATGGCGGGAATTTTTTTTGGCTATTCCATTTAAAAAATCTACACAATAATTTCGTTTTTAATTATATAAAAAAATTAAATTGAATTCTCACCAATTTCTTTAATTATGCTTATGGCATCCATATTTAATTGTAATTCACGCAATAAAAATTACTACACAATCAAAAATTTTGCTTAAAATGCTGTTATAGAAGGTATAAACCTATTATAAATTTTGACATATTTTAACAGCATTTTAACAGCATTTTAACTTTAAAATACGTTTATGAATAACATTTTCGATAAAATGTATTAGAAACCTACTATAACTTTTTATGAATAAGGCCGTTAGTTTTTTTATGTATTTCACTCTAACTTTTGTAAAAAGATGTAACATTTTTAAATGCAAATTCAGCAAGTGAACTTTAAGCATTTGTTGTTTGGTGAGTTTTGCACCAGTTTAGTAAAAATAATACGCGTTGGCATAAAATAGTTATTTTTCTTCCCAAAAAAAATATATATTCACTTAGGTAGAGTATCTAACATTTTTTAAAAACATGTATAAAATTTTGTTAAATTTAGGTTGTAATTAAACATAAAAAATTAAGTTAAACCTAATAATAAAACAAATGTATGTTGTTTTATGTTGTTTGTTTATTTTGCTGTAATAAATATTTTAGTTGCTTTTTATATTTAATATTATGTCAGTATTATACTTTCATGAAGAGAGGATTATTTATTTCAACTTTTTAATTTTTTTAATAAGCATTAAATTAGATACTAAATGAATTATTTCACATTGCTGAAATGTGTTATTCAATTTATATTTTAAGCAGTTTAGCAAATATGAATTAACTTATTTTAGAACATTTATGTTAAGCTGCGGTTACAACGTAACTGAAGCAATGGTGAAATATGCAAAGTATGGATTATGTACTGTTAACTGTGTTCCAGTCAATTTGTTGCTGAGGTATCGAATATAATGTTAATATTTAACATCTTTTTTTAAGCACATTGTAAAATAACAACCGCTTAGTTTAAAAAAAATACATGAAGCAACAACACTAGGCCTTTTCTTTTGTAAGCATATCACAAAAGAATAATCGCTTATTTTACAAATAACATATGAAACAACACTGCTGGCTTATTTAGTCAAACATTTTGAATTCGCTTAACTAATAAGCAGCTCAAGTCGCATGGTTGCTAAAAAATCTAAACAAAAACGTTATTCTTTCTATTTATTATTTTACTGTTAAAAAACATAAAAAGTTATATTTTATTTACAATTATGTAAAAAAAATATTCTCACCAATAATTGTAAAGAATTATTATTAATTTGCAAAAAGCCTAACAAAATATCTATTTTGTTCAGAGTTGGCATCGAAAGTATTGCTTATTTTATTTGTTCTTTTGTGGCACGCTTACAAAAGAAATGGCCTAATAAAGTTTTCAATCACATAGTGAAATTAACTTTTATTTCCAAGCTTTAAATTAATAAACCCTAAAATAATAAGTAATATAAACAATAAGTATAAATTTAATAATAAGTTCAAGATTAAAATATATAGAAAATCACTTCTTCAATAAAATATTTAATTTTAAGACCAAAATTATTGCAAATCAGTTTTCGTACTTGCTATATTCATCATAATTTTTAAATCATCATTTCATACAAATGTGCATTAGACATTTCGTCTTCGCACATTTTGGTGCATTTTTATTTTCTAGTCTGCACACAAATGTGCTTCTCATATTATTTTCAGCGCACGTTATATGCGAGTGCAAACTGGCTTCCTCACATCCAAAATGCTGTGCAAAGTAAATTCGGGACAAACACTGAATGCGTGTGCGAGTTTTATTTCATTCCACCACATTCGTGTAAAATGTGTATTTTATTTGTGCGCACAATATGTGCATTTTTCTTTGCAAATAAAATTTGTGGTGTGAAATTTTATTTAGATGCGCACAATATTTGTGCGTGGTGCTTTTCAGAACCCTTCTTCCATATAAACTAGTTAATTAGCAGTAAATAAAATGAAAACGCCAAATATCAATGGAAAAGAATTCTATGTTTACACAATTAAAACGAAGCTTACACCGAGATTGAAGAAAAGATATACACAACCCAATCCACAATTTGGCAAAGCACATTAGCCGCCATAAAGCTTTAAGCGACCGTGAACGCAGTTAAATAATAGGAAAGGTGAAGTTAAATTCAATAATATCCCCAACCCAGGTTGAAAAAAAGTTTGGTAATGATATTCATCCCATAACCGTCAGAGGGCCACTGCATGAGACTAAATACAGTTGTTGTGTTTATAGGTGAAAATATATGATTGCGAAGGTCATCTAACGAAGCGTTTAGCCTATGCGAAGCAGTACTTAAGCAAGTCAATCGACTTTTGGAACAATGTAATCTTTTCAAATGAAAGTATATTTAAAATCTTTCGAAATTATGGCCGCCAAATAGTTTGGAGAAAATCAAACTCCAAAAACAGAACCTTGCTATGTCTGTGGTGGAGAAGTATATGTGTATGGGACTGCATATCCACTAAAGGTTTTGGAAAGACATCTAACGACGTCTAAAGAAGCGCACTATAACAACAAAAGCAGAGCTTAAATTGGTACTGCTCGAGGAGTGGTAAAATATTTTGTCAGAAGCCACACAAAAATCCGTTTTAGTGCTAAGGCGACTAAAAGCATTTGAATAAACATATAATCAACATCACGAGTACGCAATCCTAACTAAAATATCACTTCACAAGTAATATACAACTAAACATTGTCAACGACACAAAGCACTTACTAGAATTAAATATTGTGAATATTTTAAATTAAAATAGATCAAACTTATATATGAAATGCAATATATTAAAATTTAATAATATTAATTTTTAATTTTTAAACAAAATTTGTACAATTTTAAATAATACTGTTTTGATTTGTACTTTAAATTTATAAAATCAACTCGAAAAAATGATTTTTCTGATTTGTTAATAAAAACCACTATTTTGGGCAAATTTGGAAAATGGCGAATAACTTCTGAAATTTTTATTCGATTTTTATGTTAAGCCACTCAAAATGTTTGTACTAAAACAGTTTTTAACATCAATCAAAAAGGAATTTTTTTTAAATATTTTTGTGGGAGTTCCATCACATGAAAAATCGAAAAAGTTGAAAAAAGCGTAAAAAAAACATTTTTCATCTGTGTATTTCAACTATAACTGCGAAACTAAATAAGTTATATTAACGTTATGTAACGTTATGTAAAATGTTCGTACACGGAATCAAGAAGTTAGAGAAGCGTTGGATTGATTGTATTGCCCTTGAAAGAGATTATATTGATGAGTAAAATCGATGTTTGGCAGAAAAAATTTGTTTTCCTTAGTTAGTCACACGTCTTATTGACTGATGTGTTATAGTACATTTGCTATTTTTTCTGAGGCATGTTTAAAAAATTGTCGACTAGTTTGATGTGTAATAGCAAGCGACGACAACGATTGTTGACAATAATTCTTGAGGCCCTTAACACACACGTTCTTCCAAATTATTTTAAATTTGATATTCGATGAAGTTTTATACTGGCTAGGTGTTCAGGTCTCAAAACTCCACTGCCAAAATAGTTGAGTCTGATTTTTAGCAGGGTTAGGTAGAGACATAGAATGTGTTCTGCTGTTTCCTGTTGCTCTTGATAGAGTCGGAAGGAATCGTTTTCTGCTAGACCAATGTTTTTCAGATGGTATCGCAGTCTGTAGTGGCCTGTTAGCAATTCAATGAAGAGTTTGATATATAATCAAATAATAATCCTTATTGACCGTTTGACCATCCGAAAGGATTTCACACCACGAATATCGAAGAAAACAGTCAGCATAACCTTGATTTTGGACCGACTTTGGCGTTCTCTATTCGGTTTCGGCTCACCTTCGAAGCACCATTCGGTCGATTGTTGTTTGGTGGGCATGTCAAATTCATAGACCAATGTCTCATCACCAGTTATGATGCGTTCGATGAATGTAGGGTCACTATCTGCGTTGGAAATCATCTCTTTGGCTACATCACAACGACGCTTTTTTTGAATGAAATTCACCTAAAATACGCCACACGAAAATTTTTCAACTTCTTTGTATAGACACCAAACAAAAACTAATCGTACGATATACGTTAAACTTTGACAGAATGTGTATAATAGTGTTGCCAGCGTGAAAATAAAAAAAAATTACCGATAAGCGCGGGAATTCAAAAATTAAAATTCTCGTTCTTTTCTGATGGCAAGGTATATATATACGTACAAAATATCTTTACTTATTCGAACCAGAAAATAATTTTGAATGAATGGTTTACTAGCTGCATCTCTCGAAGAACATTTGGCATCAAGTTCATCACTATTAACATTTTTTCTGGCATTTCTTAAAAAATATGACAAATCATATGAATCTAATGAATTCTTTAATCACTGTTTCTGTAAGCAATATTACCAATGCACTCCTTATATTTTCATTTATATGTAGTTGATTGTCAAAATCTCTTAATGAATCTATAGTTGTTATGGGTAATTGTGGCAGTAGAGAAAGTTCCTGAGAAGCACTTTTCGAACCAAATAATCGTAATTCTCGAACTTCTCTCCACAGCAAAATCACTTCTTCAGTCAACCTGGAAACTATTTGCATCATTTATGTTTCGAATTTTGTTGGGAATTAATTTCTTTAATCGCTGTAATATTTTGACTAGAAGCTGGAAAAACAAAAAATTTTAACTAGGTATTTTGTACTTTAAATAATTTACAGCACTTGTTTGAAATTTGTCATGACTAAAATTCTCATCATCTATCATCATTTGAGAAAGTCAAATCATCACTTAGAATGTCTACAAAAAAGTTCATTTTTAATACCTTAATTAGTATTTAACAAATGCTAATGTATCGAAAATAAAATACTTACAATTGATATTTGTCTTGTTGCTTTCCGTCATTTAGGTACTGCAATGAATCAAAGAGGTAGAAAATAATAAATTGTCAGTGTCATTTATAGTTATTATATAATAATAAATCACAA